CTCCCCCGGGCCGCGGGGGGGGGGGGAGGAGGTAGAGAAATTGGGAGTGAAACTGAGCCTGGGAAGAAGGGAGGGGAGAGGGGAAGGTGTTTTAAGATTTGGTTTTATTTCTGATTACCCTGCTCTGATTTGGTTGGTAATAAATTAAATTAATTTTCCCAAGTCGAGTCTGTTTTGCTCATGATGATCTCTCCCTGTCCTTCTCTCGACCCACGAGCCTTTCATTGTATTTTCTCTCCCCTGTCCAGCTGAGGAGGGGGAGTGATAGAGCAGCTTGGTGGGCACCTGGCAGGCAGCCAGGGTCAACCCACCACACCAAGCAGTGTATGAGCTTCTCCTAACTTTGTGTGTGAGCATCTCTGCACATTACTGGCCTGGAAGGGAGGAAGCGCTGCCACAACCATCCCACTGTGGCAGGAGATGAGCGGGGGGACTCACCTCATTAGTACAAAAAAATGCCCCCCTCCCAGCTGACTGTACCAAGGGAGCTGGAGCTCAGCGTCACGTCTGGTTTTCACCTGCATCCATCAGCACAGACAAACCCACCAGGAGTGACCAAACCCACAACCCCTCACAGAGGCTCGAGGCAGTGAGGGGCACCCCAGGTGAGACGGGAGGGCAGTGGGGTTTATCCGCAGCACCTGGGGCTGCTTCCAGAGGAATCGCTAAACAGCACCTGCAGAGTTTGCCCGTCAGAGGCGCCAGCCCAAACACAGATCTGATGCTTCACCAGATGCACCAGACCCTCCCAAAATTATTGTAGAGTTGGGCATATTTTGGTATTAAACCTCCTCTGTCGTGGGTCATATTTAAGAGTCAAAAAACTAAAACCAATTCTATTTACAAGTGCACAGAAGAGATAACTGTACATCATCTCATCAGGCTGAGTGGTCACAGAAAGAAGCATGACAGGAGCACACACAGATGCAGAGCGCAGAGAAGGAGCAGCGGCTGGCTGCTCTGCTCCCCTGCCCAGGGACGGGGACAGGGACAGGGAGAACTGGGTCCTGCTGCACAGCTGCTAACATCAGGCTCACCATTCACTCCCCTAAAAGTTTCTTCAGCGAAACAGTCGGCAAGTTTTTCCAGCACTACGCTTAACTTCAAGCATAGAAAGGGAAAAGTCTGAAAAAAGTCTAAAAAAGTCTAAAACAGTCTAAAAAGCCAGAAAGCAGATCTTTTTAGCAGCTGACGTACTCCACTGTCATTTCACCCAACCAAACCTATAGCCTGGCCGCTGTGCTGGCTGCATGCACCGCTGACGCACTCGATGGCCAGAACGAGAGCGACAAATTGACTTTGGAATTAATCCCCCTTAAGCCTTATCTCAGAGATTATTATTGCTATCAAGGCAGCTGAAAAAAGGCTACCATCTCTCCACTGAAATTTCTTCCTCTAAGACAACAATTAAACAGAAAAAAAAGAAAAAAAAAAAGAAATCCACAAATCACTCGGACTGAACACGAATGTAATCATGCTCGGTGCTTTATATATACATTTCTGGATTAACTCTGACCCAGCTATATAATCTTTTAAGAGCTAAAATGAATCCTGGGCTGTACAATGATGTGATTATCTTAGGAAGCAAGAGAGAGAGAAAAAAAAATTTTCTTTTCCCTGCAGCTAGACCTCGCTAGAACAGACAGATTCGTAGCTGCCGATGTGTTTATACGCCAGCCCACTCTACTACAGAAAGTAGAATATTTTTAGTCCGATACACTGGGGATTTTGGGGTAGAGTGAAGCCGCCAACTGATTCAGTATTGTTGCATGTTGTAAGGAGCCTGAACTATGCCTTTTCCACACTATTGATTTACCAGGAAGAATTGCGACCCCACACAGAGAAGCGGCTAAACAAATGTAAAATTTAAAGACTGTTCAAAACAAAATTGGTCAATTTTTTTTTCCTTCTAGTTAGTTGGAACTGATTAGCGTGTTTTATGTCTAATTGCACGAACACAAGTGAGCGTGCTGCAAGAAGGTGACGGAAATGGGAAGGGTTAAATGTCTCCTTAAGTGTTCATTCATAAGTACATACTGGATCCCAAGCATTAAATCCAGCAGATTCCTACTCTGTTGGTACGACTAATCTATTTCAGCATAAAATCCTGAAAGCTTTTAAAGACGGTGAGACTTTAGGGCAAAAATTTACTCTGTTTTAAAGACGGTGAGACTTAGGGCAAAAATTAAAAGGAGAGTATAACTACTCAGCTACACAGACATTAAACTAGGGAAAAAAGGGGAAACCAAAGTGACAGCGATACATACTTCATTCCCTTAAAAGGGTATGTTTTCCTAATGAGACCTAAACAACTTTTCTTCTTATTTTGTATTGGTTTTACCTTTCTCCTTGGTCTCATCTGGTAAATCAGATTTAATCCTCAGCAATCAATATCCCAGGGTAAACAGCCCACACCTAGAGATGCAAGGTGCAAGCTAGAGAAAACTTTATATTTCTAAGAGAATGCAAGTACAACGTGCTGCCAACACACAGCCCTGTGTTTCCTTATTAATTGTTAAATAAAAATAGGCTTCTGAGTGACTTTTACAGGCATTGCTCCTGAAGCTCTGGGTGCCTCCCCACAGAAATTGCAATCCAGCCCCCGGGCAGGTGCAATCCTGCTCTTCCCACCGGACTTCCAGAAAGGCAGGAGAAGACGAGATCAAGAAGTAAAAACAAAGCAAAACACTCAGACTCCTTAGAGAGACGTTGCGGTTGCAGCCCAGTTTGAAAGCCTCTGCTGAAACTGAGGATGCTGCAAGAGCTGCTGAGCCCAGGCGTGCTGGTGGCACGGCTCACGACGGGGCCGTCGGGCCGTGCTCAGGGACAGCCACACTGCACCCTCTGCAGCAACACGGCATCTTCGCCCCAGGTCAAAAGGGTGGCTTTTCTCCTGCATTTCACCAACTACCTCCTGCCCACCTGAAGATTGTCAAAAGGGTGGCTTTTCTCCTGCATTTGGTGAAATCACCAACTACCTCCTGCCCACCTGAAGATGAGAAAGAAATTTAGGGACATCCTGGTGCTCAGACAGCTGGGGCGCTCAGAGCGCACGTCTCCGTAACGACAGCCCTCTCTGCGGGGAGCCTGGCAGCAGCATCCCCAGGGAAAGATGAAGTTTGCAAAGCTCCCTCACAGGTCAACATTTCATCCGCTTCGCTATCAGGCACCATCCAGCAGTGCAGCTTCATTTTAATCCAAATCCTGTCAGACTCAGCGTCCTGCTTCTCGCTCTGCTGATTTTTGCCCCGATCACCCGTCTGAGCCCACAAGCTGCCAAGAGGAAAAAAGCAACCCCCAGACCCTGAGCTTGCAACTTAACCCACCTTCCAAGGGACAGAGCCGTGCCGGTGTAACTATGACTGCAGAGATGTGAGGCTGCACATCCCAAACTGGACACGCAAATCTGCTGCCCAACCCCTGCACGCAGACTCCTGCACCACGCTTGGCACGACCCTGGGCACTGCGCTACATCCACATCCCGGTTAAAGAGCCGAAATTTGATTTTCCAATACACTCCCGATTTCAGGTTCTTTCAGAGGGAAGGGAGGGGATTCTACCGTGTTTTTTATTTTCTGGAAACTACTTAACAAAATCTCCTCCACTCGGGCAGCATGCTGGCAAGGTGATCTTTACTCAGCACGAAAAGAAAAAGGAGAAAGCGGAATAACTGCCGTTAAAGAAAGAAAAAGCACAAGTCGCACGTCGCCTTCGGACTTTCCTAGTTTGCTACAAGATGCAACTTTAAAGACGCTTCCGTTCAGTCCGTTTTCGTGTGGGTGACGGAGAACTTTAAGAATCAGAACAGCGCCGAGGAAACCTCTGTTTCAGCGCAGCCCCCTCCCCAGCGCCCCATCGGCAGCGGCTCCGTTAAAACGTCGCCTTGCGCTTCGGGGAGCTGGTTTGGGAAACCCCTCACCCTCCGGGACGTGCAACAGCATCGGTCACCGCCCGGGCGGACCTCCTCGCCGGCAGCAGGAGTTTCTCCCCGGCTTCCCACCGGCTCCCAGCGGGGACCGGCAGCGGAGCCGCCCCGCTGCTCCCCCCTCGGGCCGCCCGCGGCCGGGGCCGCACCGCTCCCGCGGGAGGGATGATCTGGGGCCCTTCGGGGAAAAATACACGTATATAGCGTGTGCGCGCGTGTATATATAGTGTTATGCTACACATATATAGCACAGTGTTATACTGTACTATATATAGTGTGTGTGTATGTACACGCTATATATATATATACACCATATATATATACACGTACCACGTATAGGGTTTTTTTTATATATACTCTCTATATATACTTTTGGCTGAGTAACAGCACAGGGGCATTTTGGAGGGGCGCTCCGCCGCTTCACCCATCCGTCCCCCCCATCAGAGAAAAACCCGCGCCCGAACGGAGGGCGGTTGCAGGGGACCCCGACCCCAAAGGGAGGCGCAAGGGGCGGTGAAAGGGCACCCAGCACCGCGGCGAGGGGGGAGGATTTGCCCTGCGGGACACCACCACCCACCCCCACCCCCCGCATTTTGGGAGCGCGGCGCTGCGCGGGTCTCACCTTGGGGTTGGTGCGGAGCTGCCGCTCGTCTTCGTGGAGCAGCGCGGGTGCGGAGGAGCGGGAGGTGCGGACCAGGACCTGGAGGCAGGGGTAGCGGGCGGTACCGCGGCAGGCGGCCCCGCAGGAGAAGGTGCAGGCGAAGCGCTCCCCCAGCTGCCGCACCGCCAGCACCGTGCAGTTGGCGGAGCCGCCGCCGCCCCGCTCCTGCAGCGCCGGGCGCAGCCAGCAGCAACCCAAACCCAGCAGGGAAAGCAAGCCGGCGGCGATGAGGAGGAAACCCAGCCGCATGCTCTTGTCCTCCGCCTCCGTGTACTCGTAAGCCAGCCGGCTCCGCGCCATCGCCCGGCTGCCGGCG